CTTGTGTAACTAACTTTCCTTTTAGAAACACGTCAACTTGCTTGAACAAACTGTGCAAGAAATTGTTTACAGGTCCAACTTTAGTGTCATCATCGATATCCCCACCATCGGCTTTTGTTACTTTCGCTCTAGCTACCAATATTGTCTTAGACATGTCAACATAATCTTCAGTGCCGGGCGCTAAAAATGTAATTGGTCCATTTTCAGATACGCTGGACACAGGTTGATGATCAATCCAATGCCCCTTTTCTAAACTGACTTGTGTTGGTGGGACAGAAAATAAATCAAGTTCGGTTTTTGTACATTCTGCAGATTTTGGATGAACGAAATCCATATTTAGCCGAAAATGTCCTCTGCTTCTTTAGCTGCTTTACGTCTCTTGGCTGAACTGTGAATGGCAATGGAAGTCGTCGCCTTTCTCTTTTTAGCTGGTTTTCTTGACCGTTTCTTTGAAGACTTTCCTCTTCCTGTTTGAGCAAACTGCTGCATTCTGTTTACAGCCATTTTCCCCGCATCTTTAGCAGCCTGATTTACTCTCGATTTTGCAGACTCTTTCACACTTTTCCCGGAGATAACATCGCCTAAAACGTTTGCTCCTGTGTTAAGAGCAATTTTACCCAGAGCTTTTGCACCGCTTTTTGCCAGAGGTATTACAGCTCTAGCTAAACTGCGAAATAAGCCACCAAGACCATAACCCACTTGCCCGTATCCTCTTTGTCCTTCTTAGATTTACAAACATTATTTTTATTATTACTTTTATGCGTTTGTTTTACTGGTTGCTAGAGATCGTATTAGGAGAATTTAAACCAAGAAGTTAGGGCAATCAACTGATAAAAGTGCAACGCGCGTTTGATATTGATATTGCAGTAATTGATACCACAAGCCTATCTGCCTATAGTGGTTTAAATTTATTAACTTATGCATTCAAGATGCGATGTGGCACAACAATTTTAGTTGTTCAGGCTTAAAATAACCGGTTTATGCCGAAAGTCGCGTATATAGGTAGAAGTGTGCCGTAAGCGTAATATTATTCGAGCTATTTCATGCATCATCACTTTAGGGAATTTCCTTTTCATCTTATGAAGGCGCAAATATTTCAAAACATCGAGCTTCGCGCAGTATGTATAGCTCTAAGAGGCTTTCTCGGCATGTTTCCATTAAACAGATAGAGATAGAAACAATAGCAGAGATTTTTGCAGCTATGCAATATTAAAAGTACTTTTCACACTAAACTGAAATTTAAAGATTTATTTGAAACAACACATTTCCAAAATTAAGATACAAGTTATTTATGAAACGAATTCATCTAACAAAGCACCTTCTTCTATCATTGGCAATCTCTACCCAAAGCTGTAATTTCTTTTAAAAAGTCTGTTGATATGAAACTTTCTCTCTTATCAATAGCTTGCTTCCCATAGGCTTCCTGTGGATCAAAGCCCGTCATTCTTTATAAACCTTTATGCATTATTTTCTGTGATGGATCTTTTTTTCAGCTATTATTTATCCAGTTTACAAGACGTTGCATATAAATACTTTCCCAATTCTTTTGAAGTTTTTGCAGACTGTTAGAATATGCTTTGATTTTCAGCCATCTGCTCATCCAGACCACTGTTCATACAAGTTGGCCTTCCTTCATCCTCTACTGAATTTCATTACTTTACTTCTTTTTCCCTTTATTTCTTCTAATTTCAAAGATATCCAAGGATCAGTTTTTTCCAGTTTCAGCCTCATTTTCTATTGATTGAACTTTCAGATTCATCTGTTGAACTTGTAGAAACATTATCTTCGAAATGCATTCCCTGGACTGTCTGAATCTGATTGAGACATTTTTTCCTCATCCCTTAGTGGACAGTATCTTTTTCGTGTCTGTGTAAGTTGAAAAGCTCGATTAAATACTTCTTCATTAACATTCGCAGCTCATTTCGCCGGCACTGCTTTTTAGAAATGAGACATTTATGTAGCAATGTGCATTTGTGGGCAAATGAGCAAGTGCTGAAGCAGTTATGAGCATTTGAGCAAGTGCTCATAAGTAATTATGAGCATCAATGAGCATTACCATCTGTTCATAAGAGGAATAGTATTGTATAGAATTGCACAAGTTGTTATCATGTATTCATTTATGGGTATTGCTCATTTAAACTCCCTCCCCCCCTGCTTTATGATAGCAACTTGGTATAATTTATATACAATAGTTTGAACCTTTATTCGTCTTATGAGCAAGCCATAAGGAAAAAACATACAGACAGCAAGGAATTCATTATGGAAAATTGGAAAAGTTACAAACAACTCGACATTCGTTGATTAAATGATATTTTGTAACCCTGTCTTACATGCACTTTAATTTTTTCTGTTCGGGGGTCAAAGCTCAATTTGATATTGTCTTTTACTTCTTTGTCAAGAGTCTCATTAACTGATTTTACTAGGTCGAAGGCTTTTTCATACAGGCCATAGTCGACAAATACCGGAGTAGGTAGACCTGTTTTGTGAGTTACATATATATGTGTATCCAAACCTTTTTTCAACGTGTACCATGTATGAGGATATGTAATTGAATACAATCCTACTTCCCAATTACCATTTAAATTCACAACGTGAGGTAGTTTTACGCGATAACCTGAAATCTTATTCTCAGGAAATACAGAGAGAGATGCATTACTAGGTAATGTCAGATAGAAGTGTATCCTGCTCATCTTTAAGGTATAATGTGAAATGAAAAAATCATGAAAACGGTTACGTTTTATATATGTATTTCCGATGCTGGTACCCATGAATTAAATTTGTTAGGTAGCCAGACCACTTTACAAAATATTGTACATTGCCCCCTACCACGTTTCTTAAGTATTTTTTCAATCTCATAAACATCGTCTTTCTTGATGACTTTTGAAGTTCTTTTTCATAAAATGTTCCTTCAGTTCGTCCCTTCATGATCTTTCAGTCTGTATACAGGAGGATTGCGCGGTATTTTTGACTTACAGTGAAAATTTCTTTTGAAAAATTCGGTAAATACCCCTTCTCAAACCTTCGTTTTATTTTACTTATTCGTACTTGGTCACCTATATCAAACTTATATTTTACATGCGTAGGTTTATTTAATTTGCTATCACCATATAAATTTTCCCGAATTCTATCTTCATTTTCACTTGTAACGTTGATCGGTTTTTCCTTAATGCTGCGATGCATGCTATGATTATAAGAATACAGTAGATCAGGAAGCATGTCAATGTATCTCATTGTTTTGTTTGCTGTGAAGTAGCGCCACATTTTAGTTTTCAGTGTACGTATCAAACGTTCAACGATGGATGCCTTCGTCTCGTTAAATGTATTAAACAAGGTAACGTTTTCTTCTGTCAGTTTCTTAAAGTCTCGATTAAAAACCGAGCCTTGATCCGTTTGAATGTGTGTTGGTTTACGTCCTGATGACAAAATCTTTTAAAAGCTTCTACCAGCGACGATCCTGTTTTCTTTTTAATGGAACAGCCCATGCATATTTGGAAAACATCAATACAGATAAGAAGATAGCGATAACCATCATTATACTTTTGCAAAGATTTGCATGTCTGCAAGATCCAATTGCCACTGGTCGTCAATACCACTCACTACGACACGATTTCTTTCAAACTTTCTTCGAATAGGTTTATGCAAAGAGTATGCGTCTTGTTGCATGAGCCATTCTTTAATTCTTTCACGACTAATGTCATATATTCCTTCTGCCTTTACATCGCGGTACAAACGTTCAACACCTCCGTAGCTTCCTGGGCGTTTTGGATTGAAGTATACACCGGCTAAGTACCGGTCAACGTTACTCATGACAATGTTCTCGTGATAATAATTTTGCAATTAGATGTCAATTTCTTTTAACTACTCATTATCGATGGGTTCAATGTTTTCAGTTACAGGCAGTGTTTCTTCTATCGCATTATCTGTTGGAAGTTTAATTGCGGCGGGTCCATAATTTTTAACAGTTTTACTTGTGTATCCTGCTTGCAAATGACCCTCAAGATTGAGATCGTTGCGTCCGAAACTTATACCCAAGCGAAACATTTTCTGACGATTATGATTTTTATCCCTTTTTGCATTTCTATTTTCACGTTTGCTGCTACCGATCCCCATTTTCACAATGACATGGTCATGAAACAACTGAAGACAAAATGCAATAACATTGAAATTTATATTTTATTTTTTTGTCAAAGCAATTACACAGTTGATCTGTATTTCAGTTTACAACTACAATCAGCATAGTCAAAGAGATGTTGATAAAAAGGAGGACGTTTTGTCTCCGTGTACATTAACATTAGTTCTACCCAAGTAACACTAAACAGTTTGTCAAAATATGTCTTGTGAGAGTTCGAAGGTCCACTGTACTTTAGAAACTTAAAGGCTTCACATATTCCATTCCAGACATGTTCGCGATTGATTGTTTCGACTGCACGAGCTGCAAATTGAACCACCGATCTTCCTCAGCCATCATTTCTAAAACGTTTTGATACTCCGTCCAAGGGTCTGCTTTACTTTCATCCTTTCAGCTCTTCGTAGCTCTTGAATCTTTTACTTATAAAATCGACGAAAATCAAATTGATAAGATCGCTGTGACTAACTTCTTCAAACTCAACAGTGTCTGCATATATCTGATTAAACATGTGTGCCATATTTTTGTTTTTTCAAAACGTCCAAAAGCAATGCAACAATAAACAACGCAAATAACATTTTTTAAGACGATAGTTCGACTATATAGTTTGAAGAATGAATACACAATGACATAGATCCGGTTTATTAACCAATAAAACATAAGGCGGATCTAATGTTACTTTGTCAATAGCATGCAACTTCCAGCTTTGTCGTATTTCCGATTTTCACGCCATCCAATGCCATGCCATGTTTATTAAACCCTATTTCCGGTTGACATGCGCGCGCACCGATCAACTTCAGGGGACTGGAAACTAACTGGCACGGGTAAGAGCTCCGTGACAAAAGTGTGACAAAGCTGCATCTTATCTACTCACCAAGAGAAATCGACCAATTCCAGGATTTTCAAAAGCCAAATAATTCGTCTGAATCCTCGCTTTCTGAGGCATGCACATCACCGGCGCATGTTTTTCCATGCACATATTGTAAAGTCTGATACGGTTATAATTTCAAAAATATTGAGAACGATCTGTCCGAGGCAAAAGTTGGGGAGTACCAAAAGTCCAGTTAAGGACATCAACAGTGTAATGGTAGTCAAGACCTGAATGAAATACAACAAGCAGCATGACAGGACCAGTTACAAAAATTCAACAACGTCAATGTTGAAAGCTGACGCCGTTTTGAAGAGAAACGAGAAGAGATACATAAACGGGATGATGGCTGAACCATAAAGCATCAAAACGAGGAAAACATCCAAGACGATAGCCTTCTGCAAGACTAAGCATTGATGAAAATTCACCGATCCGAACGTTCACTTAACCGAATTGTTGAAATTTTATGGTTGACTGAGAGCGACAAAGACGTTTGACATGCAACTTGCTTCCACCAACTTCGGCGGAAAATGTTTAAAGACAAATATAAATGCTGTGGAGCTTAACTCCACTGCCAAACATAATTTGTAAAGATCGATTCTATGTATATAGAGCAGCAGCATCACAGGCTCACAGCCGCAAACCAGATTCAACGTCGTAAACTTGACGTAATTTTGTCATCAAAACCATTGAATTGTTTGCTGGTTGGTAGGCCGAGAGATTAGGGGTTTGGGTCGAGTTCATTCTTTAGAAACAAGTATTCGACAACTACGAGGAATCTTCGAGCACTTGTAAAATAACTCTTTATTGGATCACGGCGTTTGGATTGGCTGAAAAATCAGCAAATGACGTTTTATTGCAAGATAATTGACAACGCGGAATCAAATTGGCGTTTCAAATAATTCCAATTTTTCGGGATTTGTCGCCAAAGGCAAGAAAAACGTTTTATGATCATGACGACAATGAAACTAACCTGCAATTTTCAGTTGTGCTATGTAAATCTTCAGAACATCATTTACTGTTTTTGCCAAAGAGTACATTGCACCACATTAACATGACTAAAATGCTAGCTACGTCATAGCTTGGGAAATTCGACCTACCTGTGTACGCAGGCACGTTAAAACATGCAAACAAAATAACAATGCCGATACAGAGAGGTGTGAAATTTACCATGTCCCACAACCACGAAGCAGTCCAGTAGCTAATGGGATCAACACCGCTAACGAATCCTGCATATGTTTCTTTGCACCCCTGTCTGTCGGCTCCTGGACGACAAAACATTGCAAAATATGAAGCAAGAAACGGTATGCTAAAAAAAGCAGGAAAGGCAGCTATATAATTAAGACCAACATTGTTGCTTGGAAAGAAATGAAAGTTAATGAATTAGGACCTGTTACCTTGAAGCAACTATTGACTGTTTCAGACTACTTTAAAGAAAAGCGGAGTTAGGGAGACTGGGGCTTGTTTCTCCCTTGAATCCTCTTTCTGGTTCAGCTTGAAGTTTCAATTTAACTTGGCTTGGTCAGATAACCCCGCCCCCTAATAAAAATATGCTCAGCAAACCCTGCCTTTGAAGTGAACAAAGTCGTATGTCAGGAATAAATCAGTCTCTTATACATATATATATAGGAGCAGCAATTTATGATTTTCCGTATAAAACAGTGCTCTGATGCCCAAGAGCAGAGCGTAAATATGTGTAGTGGTGTTGAAAAAAAAAATCACAAAACCACAGATTCATCCTGACAAGCCTGTTTCGTGATTGCTCACTCTTCAGGGATTTAATGAATAAATACTTAAATGCTTAAAATATATATACAAGATGATGACGAAGTTAGTGTATTAATCAAGGTGTATAGCTCTGCTAGATGACGGAAGTTAGAGTTTTAATTACGGTATGGTTACAAATTACATAGGAGTGTTTTTGATCTATGGCGACAAGAGGAAACAAGTTCGTTGCGTTTATTGAGGATGATTTGATATTTTAAGCATTTAAGTATTTATTCATTAAACTCTGAAGAGTGAGCAATCACGAAACAGGCTTGTCGGGATGAATCCAGTAGTTTTGCGATTTTTTTCACCACTACACATATATATATTTTAAGCATTTAAGTACTTTTATTCATCAAATCCCCTGAAGAGTGAGCAATCACGAAACAGGCTTGTCGGGATGAATCTGTAGTTTTGTGATTTTTTCTCAACATAACTACACAAACTTACGCTTGTTCTCGGGCATCGAGCACTGTTTTATACGGAGAATCATCAAATATAAACTTCTTTATACATATATATATATATATATATATAATGAACTGTACGTCCTGCGTCCCAGTGCAGGAGTCACCATTTTAATATGGTGATAGCCGGGAGGGCACATTGTATATACACTTTGTATATATATATATATATATATAGTTTGAGCGCTGTCGGATTGTGTAGAGAGTCTCATAAAGAGACGTTCACCGCTTTCACTTTTAAGGAAAATCACCTTTATAGGTTTGAGCCTGGTGACTTCTACAATACAACCATACAATGGTATAACGTACGTCCTGTGTCCCAAATGCAGGAGATACCATTTACTATGAGGATAATGGGAGGGCACATTGTTATACACTTTGTATATATAAATATACACCGCACATCCTGTGTCCCAAGTTAAGGAGTCACCATTGCACTATGGTGATAGCCGGGAGGGCACATTGTAATACACTTTGTATATATAAACATACACCGTACATCCTGTGTCCTGTTAAGGAGTCACCATTGCACTATGGTGATAGCCGGGAGGGCACATTGTATATACACTTTTGTATATAAATATACACTGTACGTCCTGTGTCCTGCAAGGAGTCTCCATTGCACTGTGGTGATAGCCGGGAGGGCACATTGTTATACACTTTGTATATATAAATATACACCGTACATCCTGTGTCCCAAGTTAAGGAGTCACCATTGCACTATGGTGATAGCCGGAGGGCACATTGTTATACACTTTGTATATAGAATATATTGACTGTACATCCTGTGTCCCAAGTTAAGGAGTTCCACACCATGGTGATAGCCGGAGTGGGCACATTGTTATACAAGCTGTATATTATAAACAAAATGGTGACTCCTGCACTTGGGACACAGGATGTACGGTTAATATAAATCAATTCATAATACATACGTAAATTTATAGAAATTTGATGAGACTAAAAATAATAATTTGATAAACATAAAACACTGTCACTGATTGCGTGGTTTCGAAGGAAATTTAACAGTGAATAATGTGAATAATTAGTAAAACGCTATTCATTAAGAATATACAAAACATATTTACTTGTCCCTATATAGTTATAGGAACGCTTGTTGTGAAAGTTTGGGAAAAGCTCGAAAGCAAAAAATAACATACTCATCTAAATCATTTGATTTTTGTTTCGTAGTTCTCGGCAAAGGATGATTTGTCACTGTGATTAATTTGTTTTTATTCCCGGAAGTGTTTTTCAAAATGGCGTTGTCCACTGCACTCAGTGCCACCGCTATCGCATGATAAGCTTGATCGTTGAACCAAGCCTTGGCTATTGCTAAATAAGAACACACATAAATTACCTTAAATTAGCGAAGATTCTTTGCTGATCTACCTCATATTTATGTTTTCTATTGATCTATAGCTCGTTTCTTCATCTACAGATCCTTCCTTCATTTACAGATCCTTCCTTCATCTACAGATCCTTCCTTTATCTACAGATCCTTCTTTGATTAACAGATCCTTCTTTCATCTACAGATCCTTCATCTACAGATCCTTCCTTTATCTACAGATCCTTCCTTCATCTACAAATCCTTTTCTTCTCATCTACAGATCCTTCTTTGATATACAGATCCTTCCTTCATCTACAGATCCTTCCTTCATCTACAGATCCTTTATTCCACAGATCCTTCCTTCATCTACAGATCCTCTTGATCTACATATCCTTCTTTTGATCTACATATCCTTCATCTACAGATCCTTCCTTGATCACAGATGCTTCCACAACTTCCTTGATTAAAAAATCCTTCTAATCAAAAGATTCTTCGTCGATTTACAGATAGATCCTTCCCTTATCTACAGATCCTCCTTGATCTACAGATCCTTTCCTTGATCACAGATAAAGCCTTCATCGACAAATCCTTCCTTGATTAAAAATCCTTCTTAATCAAATTCTTCGTCGATTTACAGATAGATCCTTCCTTGATCTACAATCCTTCCTTCATCTACAGATCTTTTCCTTTATCTACAGATCCTTCTTTTGATCTACAGATCCTTCCTTGATCACAGATCCTTTCCTTCATCTACAGATCCTTCCTTGATCCATTGATCCTTCTTTGATCTACAGCTCCTTCCTTGATCTACTGATCAATCCTTCATCTACAGATCCTTCCTTCATCTACAGATCCTTCTTTGATTAAAAAATCTTTCTTGATCTACAGATTGTTCGTCGATCTACAGATAATCTTTTCCTTGATCTACAGATCCTTTTTTGATCTGATTCTTCCTCGATCTACATAAACTTCCTTGATACTTTCTTTATCTACAGACCTTTCCTCGATCGACAAGTCTTATTACCTGCTATCAACTGACAAGTCACACTAATCCCATTACAACATTTTGAACTCATTAAAAAAGCATAAATTGACAGATATTGATAAGAACTATTCCACCATCATAGTTACACACCTTCAGGGAGGGTGAAAATAATGTAGCTACACGAGCAAGCAATACCTTTTTTATTTGCTTCAGTAAATGTTGCTGCAACCAGATAATGTCTGTTTAAATATTCAATGTTCCTTCTTTTGGCTTTTTCTAGCAAATATTTGGTCATGTTCCCATCACGTAAAGCACTATCTTTGTCGATATCAACGAACTTAGTGTACGAGCTTGCCGAGTGTGTGTACATTTTAACCAGATCATTTATCTCCCTGAAAAAGATTTATTTACGCTTACATCAAATTTTAATGTCTGATCGGGATTTTAAATTCGTGCGCGCATTTTTCAGCATGTTCTGCTGCAAGAAGTTTAGTTTAATGCCCAGAAATCGAAAACGGTTTTGCTCTTGCAACAAAAACATGAAACAAAAGCACGTCGCTGATTATATTTACTCATCCTAAAGAGGGTTTAGCACAGTGATGGGGCACTGAAATTAAAATAATAGATTAATTCCTAAGTCTCCTTTTAAAACCCTGTGATTAACCATGTTAAGTAGTTTACCATGAGAAAATTCAAACATTTCTTAAAATCTAAACAATTTAACCAAATAAAATTGAACAGCTCTGGTTTAAAAATTCGAACAGTTCCAAGAATTTAAATCGAACAAGTCACAAACACACTTTACCAGAACTTAGTAGGAAATAATATGTAAAATTTTAGCAGTTTTCAAAGCAAAATGAGTTGTAATTTTTGAGATTTTAGTTGAGGTTTGCTGTTTTATAAGAAGAGTTTTGGAAATTGGTTTCTCGAAATCATTTCATAGTATTTGTCAACGAAAAATTTCTATTATCCACCCATTTGATTAAATATACAACTGGAAGGATACTTTTTAAACATTAACATGCCTGTTTCTGGCCGTGCGTGGAAAGATGGGGACTAGTTTAATTGCTGGCTTCAAATTTTATAAGTAGCCGTCCAGTTATATTTAAGTTCAATAATCTACCTGTTCGGGTTTCCAACAATTGCGTAAAGTGCAATGTTATCATAAAACAAAGCTGTCGTCAAAATTCTGGGAGGAGAGTCCTCGGGCTTAAGAATCGTGTCAATGACAATCAGAGCAAGCACTGTGTAAATAAGAGGCACGACAAGCTGACGAATTATGGCCATCTTACGTCGACGCGAATGACGAAAGCGTTTCTTGAACATAGCACACCACCTCTGCAGAAACAAGGTTATTCCAGTTTAACTGTGGTTTGTTAATGGCATCATGCTGTTGTTGCGTCCATATAATGTGTCTTCATCATTCACTGTACTTACTGAAGCGTTTATTGCATCCACCAGATGACGTACAAAAGAAAAAGTTTGACTTGAAACACCATGAACAAAAAAACAACTATTCAGTGTTGGTCAAATGAAAACCACAAATCAGCATTTTCTAGAAATGAGTCAATACTAAACAATAAACAATTACCACTTTTACCACAGCTTACACCCTAGTCTATCATCTAAAACCTCGTCGCAATCCTTTACTTTCATTGATATCCCGATCAATCATCAATTACCACTTTTACCACAGCTTACTCTCGAGTCTATCATCTAAATTCTCGTCGCAATCTTTTAGTTTCATTGATATCCCGATCAATCATCAATTAGCACTTTTACCACAGCTTACTCTCGAGTCTATCATCTAAATTCTCATCGCAATCCTTTACTTTCATTGATATCCCGATCAATTATTAATTACCACTTTTACGACAGCTTACTCTCGAGTCTATCATCTAAATTCTCGTCGCTATCCTTTACTTTCATTGATATCCCAATCAATCAACAATTACCACTTTTACCACAGCTTACTCACGAGTCTATCATTTAAAACCAAGTCGTAATCCTATACTTTCATTGATATCCCGATCAATCAACAATTACCACTTTTACGACATATTACTCTCGAGTCTATCATCTAATGTCCCGGCACAATCCCTTACTTTTATTTATACCAGGAAATCAACACTTACCACTTTTACCACAGCTTACCTTGGAGTCTATCATTTAACGTGTCGTCACATTCCGTTGCCACTTTCATAAAAACTTGTTCCATGGTTGTCATTGAAGCGCCATAACTAGCAATTCCCAGCTCCATTCGCCGAGTCTCCAGTTCTGAGAACAACGTGGAAAAATTTCGCGAAGATTCCCGAGGCAAGATGTAGGACAGTTCAGCGCCTAACGTAGGTAAAAAAAAAGTATTGCAAAGGACTACTGGCTAAACACTACATCAAAAAACATTTACAACAAAAGAAATGTATACTATTGAAACTTCATACTGATAAAATATGATAAAGTTGGTAAAAATCCAAAGCCTTCTCAACAAATGACAGCCTAGTTCGAGCTGACGGGTTTTATTCTTCTGAAAGAAAATTTATGTATACATGTATTGTATAGCTCGAGAGTCTTTGAAATCAATTGTTAAACTTAATTACTAGTCTGATGATGTCTTTTGTATAGACAAAAACGTAACTAACAATAAAATATTATTTCTTTTCAAAAAATGACTTTAATTCGAATTTTATGTTGGGCAATTGTTTTTTTAATACGAATACGTTCATATGAATTTGTCAAATAATAAATTTTGCGTTGTTTCCACTTGCTAAAATCATTCAACGCTCGTCACTCCATCGTATCCGGCAGCTAGCTGCTGGCTCATATCTGCAGGCTCAACCTATAAAGTCTCTTAGAGAAGTACATCAAAACTTACCAGCACGACTTTCCAATTGGCCATTCGGGACATACTCTTTAACAAGTTCATCAATTTTGTGTTCTTTACATTCTGGTTCTTTGACCATCACTATATGATAGCCCATGCTATAATGGTTTTTCAAAAACAATGAACTACCACAACAACGGATTTTGCCCTCGGCCATTATCGCAATGCGGTCTCCTAAAAAGTCGGCCTCGTCCATGGAATGTGTCGTCAGCAAGATCGTTCGTCCGTCACGATACTTCTCAAGCAGTTCCAAAGTAAACCTGCGGGCAGATGGATCCATACCGGAAGTAGGTTCGTCAAGCATTAACACCTTGAGGGAGTGAGTTGGTGAAAAATTTAACTTGGTAATTAAAAGCATATCTTCTAAGAAGACTTTAAAACAGATTTATGCCTAAGCAGAACAGATCTTGAGTTTTTACAAACTTATGTCTAGAGTTCTCATCAGGAAATATTTGATGTGTAAAAACTTTAGTCCTTATGTACTCCAGTCTAGTGTCTTCATCAGGAGTGATCTAATGTTGAAACTTAAGTTCTTATATACTCCAGTCTAATGTCTTCAATTGAAGTGATTTGATGTTGAAACTTTAGTCCAAAATACCTCAGTCTATATCACGAGTGATCTTCAGATGTTCATTCTAGTAATAAAACAACTGCACGTGATGTGCACGTGATAATATCTACCTTTGTTTTTCCAATCAACGCTACTCCTAAAGATAGCTTGCGTTTCATCCCGCCAGACAAATATCTAGTTTGAGCGTTAGCTTTATCCGCGAGTTTGATGGACTCCATCATTTTTACCACTTCGCTATCGATTTCATCACTAGACAGACCCTTTAGTTTTCCGAAGAACCACAAATGCTCCTTAACAGTCAGTCGATCGAACAAAACGTCATGTTGTGGACATAAACCTTTTTTGAAAATAGTAAAAATCAAATGGGATTGAACAGTTTAATCAAATGCTAATTAATATCGATTCTTTTAAATATGATATTAACACGATGTTCTTAAAATACATTCTTAAGTGTAGTTTTAAGTTTTACATACTAGTCGAACTGTAAGTAGCTAGTTGAACTATACTTTTATTTATAGAAGTTAAATGTAGTTCTTTTCTCAGTCATTTCACATGGTAAATTGTATGAATTTCACAACCGGCGGCGTAGCCAGCTCCTAAGTTTGGTTGTATTATGTAATATTTGAGCTTGGAGGCTGGCTAAACCATTGCACCTAACAGTCATAACTCTTTCTAAATGTTTCAAAACATTTCGTTACTTTCTACACTGACCTAAACTTGACCGTACGCCATCCATGCTTGTTCTAATGTCGTAACCATTGACAACGGCAGTTCCCTGACTCGGAGAATAAAAACCGGTAAGGACAGACATCAAACTACTTTTACCAGCTCCGTTATGACCAAAAACAACTGTAATTTGTCCCTCGAATATCTTTAGTGTAACATCGTCTACAGCGACTTTTTTACTTGCATAACACACGAAAGTTTAATATCGTAACTTGAAGCCGTAGTTAAACTCGGTAATGTCTGGTAAGATTTGTGACGTCATCTTCCGGTTGCTCCGTCATAAATCATGACGTCATAAATGGCTCCCGTTTGATCTTGTAAGATTTGTGAGGTCGTGAGGTTTGTACTTGTTTCACTGTAGCAAATCTTATCGTCATAATTGGCTTCTGTACTGTGTAGTAAGATTTGTGACGTCATCTAACTGTTGCTCAGTGAGCCCCAGTCATTCATGTTGACGTCATCAGTTGCTTCTATACTGTATGGTAAGATTCGTGAGGTTATCTATTTGTTTCTCTGTCATAGATCTTGACGTCATAAGTAAAGTCTGATAAGATTTTGAGGTCATCTCATAGACAGATTTTCAAACTTCAAACAGGGGGGGTGCTGAAAACTTTAGGGAGACGAGCTGGTAAAGGAAGTGATGTAAGACAATGTTAGCGTTTCAAATTTAGGGCAGACTGGTAGTGCAACAACCGAAGGTAGTGTAGAAAGTTGAAACATTGCCCAGAAAACTCAGTTCAACTGTACTAGGATTTGTTTTGCTAAAAATTGGGGTTAAAACGTTTCTTGGAGGGGTGAAAATTTATTCAAGGGGTGAAATCTGATGCCTGGAGGGCTTGCACTCCCTACCTCCCCCCAGTAAATCCGTCCAGGTCATCTACCTGTTACTCCGTCATAGATCTTCACTAAATTTTGATGTCAATCCCACATCCAGACCTTGAGGAGCCCTTTCGAACTTCTTCGATGTTTCGAAATTTTCCGCATTTCTTAATAATGGCAAGGTTTCATCATCGTTTGATACCTGCGGCAGAAAGATATTTTAAACATATCACTCCAAATATAATGTACCAAAACCTATAATACTTTTTAAGCTGCATTCAGCAAGCAGTCACTAAACTTACGCATCGAAAAAAATTTGACTTGACTTGAACTTCGTCTATTGATAAATTAATCATCAGAACCTTCTTAAAATTATTAAACTGCGCATGCTCAGATGCTTTGCTAGTCGTGGAAGATATCTCACTTCAGCAGCCTAACATGAACGTTCTGACAACGCAAGCAAAACAACACATACGATTTCTAATATTATGACAATCTTCACGATGAGGTCAATAACAATTTATTACAATTAACCCTTTGCTGGCCGGCGGAGAAAAAATTCATGCAACGAACGGTTAAGGCGAACAGTTTAAGCCCGGGAAGATTGTTAAAGCGATGCCACGACATTAACACCAACAGCCCTTCTCAGGACAACACTATACACAATCAATATCTGTATTTACGACTGTTGCTAAGCAAAATTTCAAGCTACCTTTTCAAAGCTTCCACACCAGTAGCTTTTGGTGAATGGGAAGTGAAAAGGTTTTGAAGTACCATACTGTCCTGGGAACACATTTTCAATATACCATGTAAGCATACCATATATGGCACAACTAATAATCATCATGATGAACACAGTCCCGAGGGAGAACGTGTCGTCCACATCAACACCATGAAAAAGGTTATCCCATTGAACGCCGCTACCGGATCCTAGAATGTAAAAAACGTTTTGGCGGGATCATTGGTGTCAATCCTGTGTTAATTGGGGGGGAGGCGATATTCATATATTCTGCTATGTCAGGCTAAGTTCTTTTTAAAACAATTTCACTTTGAAAAGAAATCAGACGGGCATAAAAGAATATATGAATATGGTCACCTCAATTATCCCAGGATTGACCTTCATGGGCGGGATTAGTATTTTCGTTATTTAGAAAAAAGGAAAACGTTAAATTAGAAACAAAATTGGAAGTTTTCAATGTCGGCCTAAAAACTACACGAGCGCTGCACAGTGGTGTCAAACTCAATAATTATGGGGAGGGGGAGGGGGAGGGGTAATATCCATATAGGCATTTTTTGTCAATTATGTTCCTTTGAAATCAATTCTTTTTTTTTAAGTTTTGAAGTTTTAAGTTTTGAAATTTCGTTAAATGTTAAGCCTGGTTAACACGAGTAAAATAAGCACGAGCTTCGAGGCTTTTGTTTCTATTGCTCTAGGAGTTTATAAAGACAAAGACATCATGGGATTTTCTTTAAATCTTCTTTTGTTCTTCTTTTGTTCTTCTTAGCTTATGTTTGAATATTTTCCGTATGCTTGCGCTAATGTTCATGCTTATGTCACATGCTTCGTTACTTATCTTTATTTTATCTTTTGTCTACGCTTGTGCTTATTCTTATTTCACTCGTGTGAACCAGGCTTAAAGTTCCCAGGAGAAGAAAAGCTTTCGCGATAGTACCAAAGATATGTAAAACATGCATGAAGCAGACAAGTTAGAATCTTTTTGCATCAGTAACATAGTCATGAAATAATCACAATAAGTCGTCAATTTCTATAGGCATTCTTTGTACACCCTGTATTCAAAAATCATCTAATTGTTCGTTAACTGTTGTTAACGCTGTGGTTACACACAAAGGATCTTTTTAAATTCTTTATGACTTAATGAGAAAAGTTGAAAAACGCTTTATTTACAGAAGCATCATTTCAGAATCCTTATTGAATAAACCTCGGGCTTAATGAACTTATATGAGCATGAAGAACATACCTTTTCAGATGAAAGTAATTTAAAACGAAAGCGGTTCAACACATACATTCCATCAACGTTTCAACTTACCTTCAAACTTGCCGATGACAATCGCTCCAAGAGTCATGCCAAGATTTGGTATGAGGCATGCAAATGCTTTGAGAGTGAACGTCATTTTGTCGTAGTATTGCATTATGAAGAAGAATAATAAGAAGGAAATACTCAAAATTACACCAACAACTTTGGCAGCGGAGCTCGCTTTGGAGAAAAAAACGCTTACGAAGAAACAAAACATAATACCAGAGGTAATATAAAGCAAAAGATAGATGAAAAATATTGTGGGTGCTGTTTTGTCGATAACACTCCCATCACTGTTAAATTTTATCGTGAAAAGAAGCGTCATTATGACAACTGCAACGAGACAAATAAGAAAACTTTGAATAAACCACGCCACCCAATGAAGCCAATTATTGACGCCGATGATTTTTAAAGTTTCCTAAAAAACATGAAATACCTAACTTAATTAGTTTATTAGAACACATGAATTAAAGATATAGCTTTTATTGAATTGAATAAAGCTGTAGTAGCAAATCTTCTCAAAAACTGAACTACAAACTAATTTAATATACTGAAAGGGTGCTCAGTTTGACAACATGTTTGGAGTGAACAATCAATAAAAACATTTAAAAGGTAGCACTGTCTCTTCCAGGAAGATAAAATTTTCCACCTATCAAATATATTGCAAAATGATCTTAATATGAATTTAATTATCCAAAGAAGTTATTTCTCTGACTCTGATTCAGGCTTTGAAATAAAAAGATCTCAGCAAATGAGACAAGTTACAACTTACCTTTAGCTGTTGTTCCTTCTCATATACAATATTATGCACAGTCACAAGTGCAGTATAAAAAAAAGCAATTTCTATGACGACTGGGATTATAAATTGAATATATGAACTGAGGGGAGCCTTAAAATAGTTTGGGAATGGAAATTTTTCCATGCGAACCGATATTTGGTCTTGATTAGCAAACTGTCCAATAATAGCTCAATCTACTGCATGTTGGGTAAACAAGAAAGCGGTACTATAATAGTCTGGACTGCCTTCATGGGAATCATCTTTAATTCTTGGTCCAGGATTTTGAAACCACAGGAAAACATACTTTGTCAACCAGCCATGGCCATTCTTGCCAAGGCAAGAGTTGTCTTCTATTGTGTTAATGAATCGCAGCTTGTAGTTGATGAAATTGGCCTGCTTTGATGGGAGACGAGTAAAGTATATACCTCCAATACATTTGGTAGAGTTGCCTTCAGAGGAACATCAGTTGCCTTCAGATGAACATTATTTCATTAACCATGTCATCCTCATTTGGAAATATTTGCAAAGTGATGTTTTGATCCAGATAAGCATGTTCATTAAGATAAAATGTAAGGTTGTTGAAAAGCTCATGTGACAGTTGAGAAGCATTATTTGCAGCCAAGCCTATAGAGAATGATCTTCTTAGTACAGGTGGTGGAGAGGTTACATTGAATTCATTCCAAACCAAGGCTGGGCAATCTTTGGCAGTGACAAGGAACACTTGCAAGGCCAGGAATATGCATGACGCAGAGAATGGCAACCCTAATTGAAAAATGGTTTCAATCGGACGTTTTCTTTGAAGCTTGAAATTCTTCCATATCAGCAGACCAAGTTGTTTCAATTTTGACATTCTCCAGCAAGTTTTTTAACTGGTACCTTTTAAAATAGTCTTAAATTTTCGAAAGAGCTCACAAATGCAAAACCATCAACTCGTAGGATCTAAAAAAGCAGTTAAAGTACCACTTACTTAATAAAAAAAACTCCACCATCTTTGTCGTGACACTTTGCTAACACTCATGAGTCAGGAGTAAGAAAAATGCTATTTTTAAATCACGAATTAACGTAAATTGCTTTACATCTGACCCGATTGCATCATAATTAAGACTTTTCATATACTTATAAGGTTTTTTTGTGATTTGACTGCGAGAAACTCTGTAAGACCTCCTTGCCTGTTGACGAATGCTAGTTTTGTACAAAATTCGTATCACAAACTACAAGCAACTTTCAGTGTCAATGAATCGATACAAATGTAAATAATTCTTCTATTTACTTACAATGCCCAAAAACGCTCACCAGATTGCGTTTGTTTGTTGGTAGGGACTAAAAACGAACAAAGTTGCGAATTTGGCTTTCAAACGTGTTCGATGTTATGTATGGTCGTATGTCATATATAGACTTATAGGAATTCCGGGGGTTGCTCATTGAGTTCTATAAGACCTGGAGGGGAAACGTCAACAAAATTACTATAAATTATCAGCGCGCGGCCGCGTGGTCAAAAACATGGCGGATTTTGGTGGTCAAAGTCAGCGGAGAGACGCGGGCTCATGAAATAAAATTTTTGTCGCCCACCCTGATTTGACCACCACGATTGCGAGTATAGAAAATATCAAAACTATTTATTTTCCTAACATAAACACTTTTTTAAAACTTTATTTATTAAACTGCCAAATTTTGTTGTTTGGAATGCTGAAATAGCGACCGAAAAGGGAACATTTCTTGACTCCGGTAAGAAGCACAGTATTAGTTTTACTATTTTGTTTTTAACACGATACTTGAAGAGTGTTTCTACTACTAAGTTTTAATTTAAAGTTATTTTGGTCCAGTTTTGTTTGTTCTTCACTTAATCGCTCGCCAGACGTGGCGAAGCTGTCAATTTTTATCAAGTTTTGCATCCATCTTGTATCATGATCAAGGCATCAAGCTTAACTCTCCTGATTTGAATTGAGTTTACCTCCCAAAAATGGGGCATAATTTGTTCATGTTTTTTTTTGAAAAGATGAAGGGAAAGTTTACAACAGAGTTGTGTTGAAATTGAATGCAGTGCCATTCAAAATTAATGAGAACTATGGTATATGTTGTATATTAAAAATAACTATTAAACTGTTTGCCTGCTCAATTTGACTGACTGTATTGTGTAGACAATTATAATGGGATTGGAAAGTTGGATTTATGCAAACAATTTTAAAGTACGACTTAGCGTTTCTGTAAATGAAATATTTATTGTTATAGTAAACAGGTTACTACTTAAAAACCAAGATAAAAGTAGTGTGTTGAACAATGTGCTAAGATTTGCTTCTACCTTGAAATTTTTGTTCAACAGTAACTTATGATTATATCATTAATATGCATGAAAAATTAAACATATTATTGTCTCATCTCATTAAATCCATACTTGGTATGATTCCAGGTGATCCACAAATTCACATCGGATGCATTGGTTACAATGAAGTTGAATGTAGAAGAAGCAAAAATAGATGGCAAAGAAATTCTTTGTGTCTTATGAAGAATTAGTAGAAATCAATAAAAAGAATTCTTTGAACAAATTGTAAACAAATTTAAATTTGCTCACGGTCAAGCAACCTAGTGAAAGAAGCAAAGTCTGTCTTCAACATGTGACCTTTCCAATTATTTAGGTTCTTTGTACAAAATACTATTTTCGAGAAACTTGATTTGTAAGTCTTTCATTGATATTTTTTTACCAAGAGATAAAAGGAACTAATTCAAAGGCTTGATGTAAAATACAAAGATTTAACAAGTTGTTTATCATTTAATTCCCAAATGTTAGTTTGTACATATAAATAATTAGTATTGGTAGCTGTAAGTTGTTTAAGCAAAACAGAAGAGTAGTAGTGCTAGAAGGGGTTAGCATTTTTGAAAAATTATATCTTGTTCATGACATATATTACACAATTCCGAAAAACTGTCAGTAATGCACAATAATATCTATAGAACTTGATAAATTTCTTCAGCTACACTGTCAAATAACTATTTTGCCTTCATGCAGCAATAGACAGTGTTTTTGTCAGAGAAACCAATGCACTTTAGTTTCCAAGTTTGTAATTTCAATGGAAAATTAATGTAGTTCTGTTCAGTAATAGATCCAAGATTCTGCCAAGCTGTTTACAAAATACAAATTACCAAGCAACAGTGTCATGGTGTTTTGAATTTTTTTCTTTTTTGTAGCTCTTCTATTTTAACATACTTTCTTTATGAGTTTTCAGTAGATTTATCAGGTAATGACAATACACTTATACTTATCCATGGTAAATTTTCAGTTGACTTATGTCGTAGGACTGAAGCAAACATTTTCTCGCTTCCTTAGGAGCATTTTTACACAGTCAAACACACAAAAGCATGAAATAATGTATAAGTTTGACGAGATTGACAGGTCTAGTAAAGAATGCCGTTTGATTTTCACTTTTAAAAGGCTAAAATGTCATAAAATAACTTAAATGTTACATCCAAAATATGCGTTTCTCTACCGTCGATTTTCTTTATTTTGATGTGTGTCTGTCCTGTGTTTTTCACGCAATGCTGAAGCATTATTTTCACATGATATGCTGTTGGTATCGTAATTGTTTTTTTTTCTCACTTGTTTTCGTTCATACAAACAGTATTAGAAATCAGGAGGGAGTGAATATTGAAAAAAATGTTTAAAGTGGAAGTTTTGACCACCAAAATCCGCCATTACCGCCATGTTTTTGACCACTGGGTCCAGGCCCCTTTGCCCCTCCAGGTCTTATAGAGCTCAATGGGGTTGCTACAACCTGGGCGATGATCGGGGACGCGCCTGTTAACTTCCTGCTCAGTGGCAAAAGCCTTGACATAATAATCGCTATAAGTACAATATGTTTCTTGTATAAAATTTCATTACACAAATCAACACAAAGTATACAGCACAGCGCCCACATTGTATTATATGTTCATTTGGCTTTTACAAAATATGCGGTCTTTTTTATAACGAATGTTACTGCAAACGCGCATTGTGAAGTATATTATTCTTTGTTATTGAGCTTGCTTGTAATATGTTCTAAAAGATATTGATGATGCTCAAAAGTATTCTAATCGGTAAGTCTTTTTCATTCGGCACTTTTAAATCTTACAATTTATGTTTTGTATTATTATACGATTGTCATGTCTGATTATGGGCAAGCAAAGTACTCTGTCAGAGTTTGTCCAAAGTCAACATTCAGACAACTTGCATGAAAGTACTGCCCACATGAATCCCAACCAGTCTTCACCATCATCTATCTTGCAAATCTTGCATACCAAACTATTTCTCCTAATAAAATAAATTTTACACATTTTACTTATGGTATAGTAATCAAGCACACAATTGGCATCTCTGACACAAAACCTGTCGTCATTTTTATAACAAATGTTGCTTCAAACGCGCATTGTGACGTTAAATTTACGTATGATATTAAATCTAGAAGCTACTACTTAGATCATAGGAAATGGCCTATCCTCAATGCCTATACTCATTATGCTGAATATTCGCGCACTTTTCATTCTTACGTATATGTACTTGCGTTTTTCAAGTGCTTTATCGGTCTCGCCTTAACTGCACCTAGATAGCCTATCCTTAATTCATATGTTCAATATTCGCGCACTTTTCATTCTTACTTATAGGTGCTTGCGTTTTTCAAGTGCTTTATAGGTCTCGCCTTAACTCCACCTAGTTAAGAAAAAATATAAAAACCTCGCATCAAAAGTGAAAAAAATAGTGGGCACATTACTGGCTCGTGGATTGAAATTCATATAGACGTATAAGCGTTCGAGTGTTTGCTCTGGCTCATTATTAAACATTTCAAAAGACTAAAATATATTAAGGAACAAATTTCGTGTTTCATACTCAGTATATGGCGCAGACAATTCTTCAGCGTGAATCTGCAGAATGCTCAAACAAACAAGTAAACTTCCTTAGAGAAAAACTCGCAAGTGTGCAAATTCTGGAAAATTACTGCACAGGTACATTGATGGAACGGTGGAGCAAATGGAAGAACTTCTTGAACAGTTTCAGGTCTCGTAGTTTGTTTTCAATTGTTGCCCCATACTGCAAACAATTTGTAACATATTCCGAAAACCATCATCATGTAAACTCAAAATTTCAGTTATAATAGCAAGAAACAAAATCTAAAAGCAATATTTTGACATTATTTCAAACTCATTATAAAGCTAATATAGCTAAGTTTACAAGATCATGTTTTTTGAAGTATGTTTTATAATTTATTTCTTCAAATTGTCGGCTTGAAAAGGTTTTTGTAAATGTTGAACAGTTAACTTTCAAAGGCCGTAATACGTAAACCTTGATAAATTGATTTC